GAGTGTGTGTGTGAGAGAGTGTGTGTGTGTGTGAGTGAGAGAGTGTGTGTGTGTGTGTGATCACTGTCAGACCATCATGCTGTCAGGTTTATCAAACATATTTATACTATATACTGGAAGAAAACAATGCCATTATAGTTTAAAAAAATACAATCATAAAGTTGTCATTAAATAAAATGATTTTTTTTTTAGCATTTTCATTTACTTTAACTTCACGTACTAAAAAAACAGAAATATTTATGAATAAAAACTATTAAAATATAAAAAAAACAATGTAATAAAAATGGTAAAAACTACAAAATGAAAATGAAAATATAAAATATAAAAACGAATTCAAAATAATAATAAAAAACATAAAAACAGAGCAAAATTATTAAAAGTATTAATTATTCAAGTTCTGTTCTAATCTTTGCTGTTACTGCCGGCTGTTCTCACCAGCTCCGCGGCGAGCGTGAGACACGGGCAGCTCTTCTTGGGCAGCTTGATTAGATTTGCCGTTCTGAGCCATTTTTAAGGCCCTGGAAAGATTCTCTGGAGCCACTTCCAGAAAGATCTCGCTGGTGTCAGCAGACACTCCCTCCAACTGGAACTCATCGAAGAAATTCCCCTGAAACTCAGAAGCATTTACAGTGCATTTAGAGCAGCTCCAAAAGCCCAAGACATTCAGTGAAACAGCTTCTATTTTGCATTCTTTTCTTTTCTAGTGCATTTTCATTCATTCTAGTAAAAAGTTGAACTGAAACATGAAGATAAATGTGAGAAAGTCTGTCATGAACTGAAGCTGACGATCACGTTGAGATGTAAGTGTGAGTTTCGGCAGTGATTCGGATCTCGTACCTGTGAGAGTTCACACCACATACTGACTCCTCCAGTTGCGACCCGACCTGACAGAACGAAGTACAGGTGATCGCAGGTGAGCCGCAGAACACACGGCTTAGATCAGACCAACACATACCAGACCAGCACAGATCAGACCAGCACAGACCAGACCAACACAGATCAGACCAACACATACCAGACCAGCACAGATCAGACCAGCACAGACCAGACCAACACAGATCAGACCAACACATACCAGACCAGCACAGATCAGACCAGCACAGACCAGACCAGACCAACACAGATCAGACCAACACATACCAGACCAACACGAGGAACAAAAGACGCTCTTTATGATTACAGATGAAATACAGTACGTCTGATTTTAAAGGCTAAAGTATTCAACTCATTAAACACAAATAAACAGAATATCTCCATCATAAGACAGAAATCAAGAATAAACATATTTAAACCCACGTGTGAAGTGATTCAGACATCCGACATCGATGATTTATCTCGGAACTTAATTTTTCGGCAGTAAATGTGATATTTGAAAACTTTGCGGAGTTTTCTTTTGGTTTTTGTTGATATTCATGTGAGTTTTCGCGCTGGCGGTCCAACAGAAAACTCTTCCGTCTGGAAACAAACGCCTCGTGTTTAGAGTTCCGCTGTGCTTCATGCCGCCACACGGTGGCGCTCTTAGTAAAGCTTTAATCCTCCACAATAAAACTCCTGCCTCAATCTACGCTTATGTTACGAGAAGGTGTTTACATTTATTCATACTTTAACTAATATTAATATTTTATTATAGTTTTTCAGATATTTCACACACCTTGACTTTATAATGACGCAGTACATTTGTTTATTCATCTTTCTCAGATGATTTTATTTACTGTGGTAAATAATTATTAGATAATGTAGTAAATAATTCAGAGTAAATTGCTTCAGTGATGACGATTCGCTGTTTATTAAACTTATATCACAGTAAGAGAGTATTCATGGTGATATTTCATCATTAAGATGTTTTTAATGAGATGTTTTCGTGTGTGTGTGTGTGTGTGTGTGTGTCCCACTAGTAAAGGAAAAATACATATAAGGCACTTTTTAGTGGCATATTTAAGTCATATCTGTTTTTGTGTGCAGAGAGAGAGAGAGAGAGAGAGAGAGAGAGAGCACAGAATCTCTGAGCTCCGCATCGCTCCTCTCGTGCTCCGCTGATGGACTCATGATGATGATGATGATGATGAAGGTGCGGGGATGAAGAGGATGTTCAGCCGCTCCAGAATCAGTTCATCAGCCGCTGCTTCTGTCGGATGTACCGGATCGATGTGTTTGATTGGATATGAATGATGAATGTGTTCAGAGATTTGAGCTGATTGAATCAAACTCGCTTCTTCATCATGGATCCGAATCTTCTCACTCTCTTCAAACTTTCTCTCATCCTCGGTGAGTGTATTTCATCTCTTTATGCCAGTTTAATATTTCAAACGCATTTGTGTATTTATTACGAGTGTGAGGGGAAATAAATGTGTGTGTGTGTGTGTGATTCAGCAGATTCACACACAGATCTGAATTAAACTCATTCAGAATGTGAGACAGTGAGAATGTCCAGCAGTTCTTTCTGACCCTGATGTCCATTACTTAAAAAAAAACATTTTAACATTCAAAGTGTGTATTATTGTTATTATTATTATTATTATTATTATTATTAAGACCATATAAATACATAAACTAATCATAGCTGTACCTCTGGAACATTTACCTTTATGTTTTTATTGCAGTTGTCAGATGTGTGACTGAAATGAGTAAATGATTGCTTTTAAAGTAAAAAGAAGCATGAAGATTTTCTTTGTGGTTTAATAATTTACACATCAAAGGGTTATGATGAGTTGTATCACTGAAACTGAAGCTCATGATTCGCTCTAGATAAGTGTTTCTCAAACCAGGGTTTGTTATAATCAATTAAATCATAAAAATGTCCAATAAATGCTTTCCAAATAAAATCAATCAAAATAAAACATTTGAAGTTAGCTGCATGTCATGTGAGCATCAGAGAATTGAAGCTCATGATTCATGTATGATCGTCAGCTCATATATGTGAAGGACGGTTATTAACTGTGAAGTTAAAGTGGGATGGCAGTGTGAACGTCTCCTGTGGAGCTCAAATACTCTCACATACTCTCAAATACTCTCAAATATGCTCACATACTATTACATACTCTCACATACTCTCAAATATGCTCACATACTATCACATACTCTGAAATACTCTCACATACGCTCACATACTCTCAAATACTCTCACATACTCTCACATATGCTCACATACTCTCACATATGCTCACATACTCTCAAATACTCTCACATACTCTCACATACTCTCAAATATTCTCACATACTATCACATACTCTCACATACTCTCACATACTCTCAAATACTCTCACATACGCTCACATACTCTCACATACTCTTAAATATGCTCACATACTCTCAAATACGCTCAAATACTCTCACATACTATCACATACTATCACATACTGTCAAATACGCTCACATACTATCACATACTCTCAAATACTCTCACATACGCTCACATACTCTCAAAAACTCTCAAATACACTCACATACGCTCACATACTCTCACATACTCTTAAATATGCTCACATACTATCACATACTCTCAAATACGCTCACATACTATCACATACTCTCAAATACGCTCACATACGCTCACATACTATCACATACTATCACATACTCTCAAATACGCTCACATACGCTCACATACTATCACATACTATCACATACTCTCAAATACACTCACATACGCTCACATACTCTCACATACTCTTAAATATGCTCACATACTATCACATACTCTCAAATACGCTCACATACTATCACATACTCTCAAATAATCTCACATACTATCACATACTATCACATACTCTCAAATACACTCACATACGCTCACATACTCTCACATACTCTTAAATATGCTCACATACTATCACATACTCTCAAATACACTCACATACGCTCACATACTCTCACATACTCACATACTATCACATACTCTGAAATACTCTCACATATGCTCACATACTCTCAAATACTCTCACATATGCTCACATACTCTCAAATATTCTCACATACTATCACATACTCTCAAATACTCTCAAATACGCTCACATACTCTCACATACTATCACATATGCTCACATACTCTCACATATTCTCAAATACTCTCACATACGCTCACATACTCTCACATCCTATCACATATACTCACATACGCTCACATACTCTCACATATTATCACATACGCTCACATACTCTCACATATTCTCAAATACTCTCACATATGCTCACATACTCTCACATCCTATCACATACTCTCACATACTCTCACATACTCTCAAATACTCTCACATACTATCACATACTCTCAAATACTCTCAAATACGCTCACATACTCTCACATACTATCACATACGCTCACATACTCTCACATATTCTCAAATACTCTCACATACGCTCACATACTCTCACATCCTATCACATACTCTCACATACTCTCGCATACGCTCACATACTCTTGCATACTCTCGCATACTCTCACATACTCTCACATACTCTCACATACTTTCACATACTATCACATACGCTCACATACTCTCGCATACTCTCACATACGCTCACATACTGTCACATATGCTCGCTGGAGAGCCAAAGCGTATCATTGACAAGGTTAAAGCTTTTACCCAGAGGCCCTCAGTGCTCAGACCTCCTGCTGCGATGCTGCTGCCGTTAATGAATCACACACACACACACACACACACACACACACACACATGTCTGGTCAGCTATCCTTCAGAAGAAATCCTGATGGGACACGAGTCTCAGACACACACGCGATGATGATGATGATGATGATGAGAATGAAGAGCTCTGAGTGTGTGTGTGAGGAAAATAAAATAAATAATATAAAAAAATATAATAAAATAAAAATAAAATAAAATCAATCAAAATAAAACACTAAAAAAGATCAAGTATTTTATTAGTTTATCTGCTTGTCAATCAGAGAAACATGAACATTTAATAAATTACTGAAATATCATCTGAAAATCTCACTAAGAGTTCAGGTAAATATTCGGCTGGTGAATGGTTTGTCTGATCTGATTGTGTGTCTGATCTCGGTTCTCCATCTGATTCAGTATTTGTGGTGAGGTTCAGACGTCTCCGTCTCAGTTGGGTTTGATTTTTCTGGTGTATTGTGACACACGTGGAGTTGCGCTGATGGTTCAGCAAACACACGCGTGTGCTGCCAGCGTTGTGAAAGCAGTGGTGACCCGCAGGACTCCATCATACACTCAAACACACAGACTCAGAGGAATCCTGTGTTCATGGCTGTGATGTGGACATAATCAGTAATGCTTTCACAGCATGTAGTTTGAGTTTTAAACACTGTTTGTTGAAGACGTTATTTCACTTCTCTTCTCTTCCATAGTGAATTATCACATTAATCTGAACTGTGTGTGTCTGAGGTCATGAGCGCAGGTGCTGTCAGCCGTGAGAAGTGTCTATTCGTGGACTGTATTCGTCGCTGAAGGCCGGAGCGAGCGTCTCTGATAATGAGTGACACCGGCGCTGGTGTGCTCGTGTGTTGATGAATCAGATGTGACTGACGAATCCTCCAGAGCTTCTGTGTGTCTGACGCCCCTCGTCACGTTATCACCACACCTACAAAGAACAGAAAAACTACAACCACAAATAAACTCGCATTGCTTAAATTAAAGTTTAACTAAATAAATACAGATTTTATTTCAGCTATTTGCCAAAGCAATATTCCTCATTTTCATTTAGTTTGTCTTGATGCACTAAAATAGAAAACTGAATTAAAAATGAATAAAAACACAACAAAATGACTAAAACTTTAACTAAAATTAAATAAAAATAGAACATCAACACTAATTCTAAATATGAATAAAAACCATAGTAGTATACTAAAATATTATCTAGCCTTCAAATATTTTTCAATTAAGTAAACATTGCTTTAAAAGAGAAAAAATACTAATAAAATGAAAAGCAAAGACACAAATGGCAGGTCTAATATTTTGCATTTACACTCCGAGACTTAAAGCACAGATCTATTATGACATATCATATTTTTAGTTTCGTCCATTTCTGTTTATCTCAATCTGAATCATCATATTTTCAGATTCAGTCCCACATTTAATTATAGTTTAATTATAGTCACTGACTAAACTTTGCAGTGTGCCACATGCAGAATTATCTAACATGAATAATAAACTAAATCTTGTGAAAATCAGCTGCCATACATTATAACAGATATAGACATTCATGCATGTTTCAGTATGACAAACGTCTTGCATACAGCAGTGCATAGAAACACTGATGTGGATTCAGAAGGCTGGTATGAACACAGCTCTGTGATGTCTGTATGGAGTCTCTCAGGCTCTTCTGCTGATTACACGGCTCTTCTCCTCCAGCAGAGCATCTCAAACCCTCGAATTCCTCGAGGACGTCCCGCTAATAGAGTGACATCAGACTCCTCTGGGAGCACAGACAACATTGATTCTGATCAGATGTGATTGTCCACCCGAGGAGCAGATTGAACACGGAAATGAGAGCGATGTTTGGCTGATTTCAGCTGCGTTAAATGGAAGCGGTGATGAACTCGCTGAAGGATGTTCTATCCATATTATACAGAAACCTCTTCTGCTCCTCTCATCGCATGTTTGCATTTGATTGAGTTTTCATCTTAAAGTTAGTAAGAGATGTGTTTGTTTAAATCAGATTCATTTTCATGCTATTTAAATAATGAAAATCACTAGAAAATTCTAGTGTTGACTGGTATTTTAGGACTGATGTTTATTTAACCTCATCATCAATCTGTAGTTTAAACGTGTGCTGAGGTTGAATTAGTCTGGAATGATGATGGAGGAATCATCATTTATCCTTCAGTTCTGGGCTCCACTGTCTGTCTGTGTTATTTCCCATCATGCTCTCTGAACGCAGTTTTGCCCTCCTTGACCTGTTCATCTGAGCTTTGACCTTTTGACCCTGCTGTGTTTCACACTCTTCCACACGAGCGCCGATGTTCATCCTGTTATTGTGTCTGAGAGATGATGACCAACACATGATGAAACGACTGAAGACGATCAACACTGAAACACATCATTGCAGGATTTGCTTTCAGACAGTTTTCACTCAGACACTGATAGTGCAGTTCACAAATAAATACAAAGACATGGCAAGTTTTGAAGTAGACAAACTTAAATAGTATTTTCTTATAAAATGTACTCCAATAATCTTTATTTACAACTTTTAAATTTATTTTTGTAGTATGTCTATAACTGTGGCCAGTTTAAACATTATACATTCATTTACTCCGATGTGAAAGCCAGTGCTGCTGTAGTTCACTGCACTAGTAATGGCCATTGTGGGTTTGATTCACTCTGGATAAAAGCACCTGCTAAATGCACAGGCGTCTTTAATTAAGATCCATCAGTGTTAATTAAGATCTTTAATTAAGATCCATCAGTGATTAACAGCAGCCTGCCGATGTTTGTGAACAAGCAGTGATTCACGCTGACTGACATTCAGCACCGGCCCTTAAACACTAACCTGAAGTGACTGGAAGAAAATTGCGAAGGCAAATTGGACACAGTTCCATTAGGAAGCGCAGAAACACCTTTAATTTCAGATTTAATTGAGGCTGTGATCCAGCAGCACCATCAGCCACGTGTGTCAGCACACACACACACACTCATACACACACACACACACACACACACACACACACACACACACACACACACTAATGCTGTTTTTATCATCAAATAATTACCCAGTTGAGCTTAATTGCTCTCGTTGTGTTTTTGCTCTGAGTGGACGGAGCTGTTGCTATGAGAACGCACATTATAACCTCGTCAGTTCGTTCGTTTTCATATAAATATCAATATGGTACAAACAAACACAGAAGTGAACAGAGGAGCAGAGATATTAACGATTCCACAAACTCTTGAATGTGAAGCTCGTTTGTGAAGAGCTCGTTTAGATGAAGCTGTTTTGATTACTGATGAAGGTCGATCATTTATTTCAGACGGCAGAGAAACAACAGCAGGTGAATATGAGAGTCGTTTACATTCTCATCAAACAAAGCTGAACGGCAGACATTAACCCTGACATATTAAATAATAATCAGAAAAACCTAACTTTCTGAAGTGGAACAGTCCATTGAACCTTTAGACAAAACTAAATTTAGGCCTACATTTTTTAAGATACATCAATGAAGCAGGTCAGATTTCTGTAATAGTGCTAATAAACTGAATGTGCTTTAAATGCACAATAGCCAACTTTATATACAGTATTTATCATCAATAAATCCAGTTTGTTTCAGTTCATTCATTGCTTGTTTCACAGGTAGTCATATTTTAACCATGTTTATAATGTAATCATTTTCACAATGAATAGACTTATGCTTATTGTAAGTAAATGCGTTTTGCAAATATGATCATTTAAATAAATGCAAATAATTAAGTGCAGAAATCTGACCTGTTTCATTCATCTATGACTGACAAAAAATGAATCACATCAAGTTTATTAGTTTATATTAAAACTGTGTAAACCAATAGGAAATTTTATGTGCAATTCAAATACATAAATGTTAAATTTAGTGCATATGTGTGTTTTGTTGCATATCATCAGGCTTTCACATGAGCTTGAATCTTTCTCTTGTTCCGAGATCCGAGTGTGTTTGGCGTTTGACATTTACAGTGCCATCCACATCTTTTACTAGAGTACAGTGTGTCTCGTCTCTGAAGGAATCACCTGAGTCAAACATTTGCTCACGTAGGTTGAGCATTTTAGTGTCTGGACCGTTTAACCCAACCCTGATCCCAGAATGCCCTGCTCCGAGCGTCTCCGTGATGATGGACAGCTTCTCCAGGGAAACTCAGCAGCTCCCAGAAGCCTTTGAGCATTATCACGGTGCTCGCGTCTGTGTCCGCATGCAGGAAACCGCTAAATTTAGCACAATAACAGTCAAGTGTTTTCAAGGCCTGAACTGGTGACACATGCAGACACGTGAGGCTCGTTCAACGGATGTCTGAACATTAGAGCCGTGCACTATATTACAAGAAACGACATGATATTTGAACTGAACACAAGTGCAAATGTGATAATCATGCACACGTCATACTGACTTTGAATGTGCAGTTGAAGTCACTGGATCTGTTGCCTGTTTTATGGCTTTATTATCTAATATAAATGCAAGATTGTCTTTCGTGTGTGGAAGTTCTCAGAGATGAAGCGCCGGTGTGATGTTGTTGAGTCAGGACTCTATTGGAGACTGTATTAATGTCTCTGAACACAGTTTGAGTTGATGTGCACTCGCATGCGCGTCCCGCCGTCTGTCTGCTGTGCTTAATATTCATGCGTCTCCTCAGGGACGGACTGACAGCCCTGCTGAACACCAGATCCGTTCACATGCTGCTGCAGGCTGCTTTAGATGCTGGAATAACACTGACACACTCTTCACCAGAACAAAAGTGCTGCTCAACTCGCATGAGGATTCTGGTGAAGCTGGTTACCAAACAAGTCTCGTTGGTTGATCTAGCTGTAATTTGGATTAAAGCATCTGTATCATATATAAATGTACTTGGGTTTAAAATACAAGCATGGTTGTAAATTCTTTTAAGTCAAATAGCCTTTATTTCTAGAGCTCTTCAATACAGATTGTTTTGATACAAAAATAAACAGGAAAATAACAGTGTTAATGCTGCAAAAATTATGAAACAAATTCAGTTTGAGCTATAAACAGCTCTACAGAAGACAGTAGTAGAGTTCAGTGTTGATTTGATTCAGTTCAATAACTATGAAACGAGTTCAGTTGAAATGTGGTTCATAATAGTGTTTTTCTTACAGGTTTATTTCATATATTTGATGTACAAACAGGGATTTTTCTTTGTGACAGTTAAACTAAAGAGAAATTATTGTACAGAATCTCAGATATGAATCCAGTTATATCTGGTTCCTAATCATGAAACTGTTTTTGTTTTAGCAGTGAACACGCTGATGACGAGAGGTTTATCAGGTGAGTGTCTCTCATGTCTCTGTCATGTCTCATTTGTGTCAAGTCAAGTCAAGTCACCTTTATTTATATAGCGCTTTTAACAGTACAGATCTAGCTGCTGCATTTTGGACCAGCTGGAGTTTGTTTATTAAGCGTGCAGAACAACCACCCAATAAAGCATTACAATAATCTAACCTTGAGGTCATGAACGCTTGAATTAACGTTTCTGCATTTGACATTGAGAGAGCATAGGTCATAATGAGAGCATAGGTCATAAGTCATGTCTCAATCATGTTTCAGCCATATTTCAATCATGTCTCAGTCGTGTCTCAATCATGTCTCAATCGTGTCCCATTCGTGTCTCAATCATGTCTCAGTTGTGTCTCAGTCCTGTCTCAGTCATGTCTCAATCATGTTTCAGTCATATTTCAATCATGTCTCAGTCGTGTCTCAATCATGTCTCAATCGTGTCCCATTCGTTCGTGTCTCATGTCTCAGTTGTGTCTCAATCATGTCTCAATCGTTTCCCATTCGTGTCTCAATCATGTCTCAGTCATGTCTCAATCATGTCTCAGTCGTGTCTCAATCATGTCTCAATCGTGTCCCATTCGTGTCTCAATCATGTCTCAGTTGTGTCTCAGTCCTGTCTCAGTCATGTCTCAATCATGTTTCAGTCATATTTCAATCATGTCTCAGTCGTGTCTCAATCATGTCCCATTCGTGTCTCAATCATGTCTCAATCATGTCTCAGTCGTATTTCAATCATGTCTCAGTCGTATTTCAATCATGTCTCAGTTGTCTCAGTCATGTCTCAATCATGTCTCAGTCGTGTCTCAGTCATGTCTCAGTTGTGTCTCAATCATGTCTCAGTTGTATTTCAATCATGTCTCAGTTGTCTCAGTCATGTCTCAATCATGTCTCAGTCATATTTCAATCATGTCTCAGTTGTCTCAGTCATGTCTCAGTAGTGTCTCAATCATGTCTCAGTCGTGTCTCAATCATGTCTCAGTCGTATTTTAATGATGTCTCAGTTGTGTCTCTCAGCATGTGGACTGACGCTCTGTCTCTTCAGACGCAGACGGCGTTGATCTGTTGTTCACCCAGCGGCCGTGGCTCCTGCAGTGCAATCAGACGCTCCTGCTGCTGGAGATGGAGAGATGCGGAGAACAATTCAGCATCGACATGAATCGTGTTCATCCTGACGACAGATGCAACCTCACGCACTTCATCAGGTGAATCACCATCCTCATCATCATCACAGTCAACTCACAGAAACTCAGTCAACACCACTTTACTTTCCAATACAAATACAAAAGTCAATCATCTCAACGAGTCCAGCTTAATTAAACCTTAACGAGTCTTTGTGTGTGTGTGTGCCCTTTTCAATTCATGTCAAGTCACATTTATTTCTACAGCACTTTATACAATCCAGATTGATTCAAACCAGCTTCACAGTAATAAACAGGAAAATAATGTTAATGTTCATCAGTTCATCAAATCCAATTTCAGCTGTAAAAAAGCTCTACAGAAGACAATCGTGTCATTATCCAGATCAATTCAGTTCAACATTTCTGATTGAAGTAATTGAGTGTAATGAGACGCTTCCCGTCACAGCACTTTTATAAGGCTGATCAATGTATCTGGATCATCATCCGCTCAAATATGATGAATGATGCGACACTGGAGAGCGTTACACGCTGAAACACGCTGCGCTCTGCTGTATTTATTCTGCTGTAGCAGGAATGAGTTATTTATATATATATTTGTGCTGTGAGGACTCGGACGGGTAACTAGTTGAGTAGTTAAAGCGGTTCTCACAGACTCAATGATCTGCTGCGTGTGTTTGTAAACTCTCCGCTGTGATTGATGAATCTGCGAACTGCAGATGTTTGCTCTTGAAGACGTTCCAGGAACTCGCAGTTCATTCTGACATGATCTTGAGCTCCTTCCAGAGACTCGAGGAGCGTTTGACACTCGTCAGCCGGTCAGGAGATGCTGACCTGCGACACCCTTCATAAACCAGAAGCACAACGTCCTCAACACTGTTTACATGTCTATCTGGAACAGAAGCCAGCATTCACTCTAGAGATGATAGTGACCCTTCACATGTCCAGATCAGCTCATGTCTTCAGCTATGAAGAAAACTGACAGCATTTATTCAAAATATGGCGAAACCAGTGTGTTTTCATGCACTGCTCAGTTTTTGCTTCCATATCATGTCTCTTCTTTCAGACTAGTGGAAAGAAAACGTCCAAAACACACATTTAAGTGTTAATTTTATTGCACTTCATCTGTTTGCGTCTGTAGATTTCGATCTCAATCCATATCTTTAAAGAGTTTTTTCTCTAACATACACCAAACTTTTATTCCTCTCTACTGTATATTCTGAAGGTTTGTTCATATTTCATTCACACTGATTTATACAACATTTTACTCCTAAAAACATGGTGAAAATGTGTTTGTTTTCTGTCTGTTGATAGTATTTTATGGTTTATGGAGTGATGAAAAGAGAAATCCAAAATCCCCTCTGGAAAAACTTTGAACTCTAATCATAATCAAACAATAATTATGAACATGACTTTATCCGATGTTCAGATATATGTTCTGGAAATGTGTGCAAATTAGTACATATTTCATTAGGGTTTCATTAGGGTTCATTAGGGTTTGAGCTGGTGAACATCAGTGACCCACGACTCACTCCCACACCATTAGGTTCACCGCTGGACGCTTTCTTAAGACGGACGATTAGACGGGTCACAACATGAACCCAATTACTGAGATCCTGAGCAGGACTGTTTTCCCAGACCTCTGGAGGAAAGAGCCTGCAGGCATCAGCAGGGACCAATCACGGCTCACACACAGCCGCTCGTTTGCATATTAATCACAGGAAACCTTCATGAACCTCTTTAACTTCATTTATTCAGGTCCAGCGTTTCTCTGGAGATTCACCTGCTCAAACGTGTCTGGTCTGGTGGAGGTTTTTCTCCATGATAACATCAGCAGATGGAACAGCAGGTGTGTTTTGCTGAAGATGGTTGCTGATGTCAGATAGCGAGCGATTCGGTCCCTGATGAGCACTTTATTAAAGGCTGATTAGATCACATGACCAACAGAGATTCAACGACGGCGGCGCTAATGGACTCTGAACACACCGACAGCACATGAGTGGTGCTGATCGTCACACACACACACACACACACACTCACACACACACACTCACACACACACTCTCTCACTCACACACACACACACACACACACACACACACACACACATGTCT